AATATGGCATTAAATCTGGTTTTGAAAGTTGGTGCACAGGTGAAAAGTGAGTTTACGGGACGCCACAGGTAGCAACGGAGCTCGTCCGTTGCATGCATCTTTGGAGACGGATGCATCCAGTGTGTTGTCCCAACTGGAGTCCGTGTCGTTTTTGAAAACATTGAAAAACAAAACAAAAACAAGAGCTGTTAAAATACCAGGTTGCCAAACAAGGCATTATTCACAAGCAAACAAAAGTCAGTTCAATGACTTCTTGGCACTGCCGGTACAGCTGTGGCACGCTGAGGCACACTGAGAAAAATGTTGGCGCAAAATAAGTGTGTAGAGTGACCTCCCCTTGACAGAAGTACAACATTAGACAGAGACTGTCATATGACATTTTAGTTTGGTACTGTACTTTGATAGCTTGTTTTGCAAATGTTGGAAGCAAAGGCAGTCGATTATCACAGAAAATGTGTCGACTACAGTGACTGCTTACACCAATAGTTGCTATTATAATTGAGGGGGTTAGAAGGAAAGGGGTGTAAGTGACTTTGATCGATTCTCTTCATCAATTTTCTCTTTTGATAGCCACAGCTTTATATAAACAGATTTTGCGCTATTTCTGCCACATAGTTTGATAAAGGAGGTTCTCATCTTGCATCCAGAATGGCACACGAATCAAGGAATGTGTTTACAGCTGAATTATTAACGAAAGAGAAATTCGATGAAGAGAATCGATCAAAGTCACTTACACCCCTTTCATTCTAACCCCCTCAATTAAAATTATCACCGGTTGCCTGCGAAAAGCGCATTCCCTACCTCAGATTTTTGTTATTGGGTATCAAGCTGGAGCTGCGTGACAGCTTTGTTTTCAAGACTTGACCCATTTGAATAAATTTTGCTTCTATCTTTGCCAATACAGCAACGTGTGTTGTTTCAAGATAGCTATAGGAAAAAAATACTGTGACGTGTGCGCGTAGATACATCCGCGTAGAAATCCGATTGAATAAGGTAATCCGTTTCGAACGAAATACCTATCGAGATTATGTAAGTTACGAAGACCGCGCGAGTTCCAAACGCCGTGCGAAACAATGGGCCGTATGAATAAAAAGAGTTTACTTTACTTTCCCGTGCTTTTCTTACGGGAAAAGTAAAGTAAACGCTTTTATTCATATGACTTAATCGCTTATTATAATTTAATGAGTGCCACCCAAATAAATGTGATACCCTATATTGGCGAGTTGATTAGTTTTGGGTTCCTCCCTAGATATTCTACTTATTTACTACTGAGCTTTGTATGAAATTAGTTAATTCAACGGACGTATCAATCATTTCAAAATTTCGCGACCGTACCGAACAAATTCTATAGGCCTATTCTGCGCGGCGTGTGAGGTGAGGTGACAGTGAAGTGATGGTGAAGTGACAATTGTCACCTCGGGTGAGTTGACTCTCCATTTGATTTGCACGGAGAGTCACCTCACCCGAGGTGACAATTGTCACTTCACCATCATTTCACTGTCACCTCACCTCACACGCCGCGCAGAATAGGCCAACTATACTACACTGAAAAAAGTTTTCATTTAGTTTCCATTGGGAACGCAAATGAAATTTTTCCAATAACGAAATCAATTATTTCTACCTGAAATTCACATAACATTCACATTATCACATGAATTCTATGTGATAAATCACATAAACTTCATTGGGCACATAAGGTTTATGTGATTTCGTGGTGCGATTCCCAATTATGAGATCACATGAAAGTTATGTGAAATTCTAATGGATGTTTTCCATTGGAAATGTGATTTATTTTTTGAGTGTACATAAGCTCAAAAAACTTTTGGCAAGCTCTGCGTATCATTTCTGCGTAAACACTGTAGACGTAGGCGCGTTTAATCCGACAGTCGCCAAAGGTTTAACATGCACCAAAACCAAGGAACGACCTTGAATCAGTAAAACCGTTTAGAGTTAAACAGCTAAATTACGTAAGATACGAAAATCGCGCAAATTGCGAACGCCGCCCGAGACAACTGTAGAGAAAAAAAACAGCTTATTATCACTTAAAGAGTGCCACCAAAATAATGTTGGCAAGTTGATTAATTTTGTAACAAGTGTAAGGTGCTAATTCATACGTATCATCATTATTTACATACAATTACAACACATACCAATAGTATAATTAGGATGACGAAAGATCTTCGCTCGTTGAAAAGAACTAAGAAGGCTGCTCTCAGAAGATTTACTAAACTCCGCACACTGCCACTGAAATGCTATACTATGTCAGACTCAACCACGAGTATAAGCGGTTAAGTCGTCTCTGTTTTCAACGCTATCAAAGGAGGATTCAACGGCGGCTAAAATCACACCCGAAATCCTTCTGGAACTTCGTAAATGAGCAACGCAGGGAAGTCGGCTTACCCTCTTCCATGATTTTTAATGGTGAAACTGCTGGAAATCAACAAGACATTTGCAACCTGTTCTCAGTCAAATTTGCTAGTGTGTTTGAAGCCGAGCAACTCTCCGCTAATATCATTACTTCCGCGGCCAGTAATGTTCCTTTGATCAACCAAACGCTCAGTATGGTCGAAGCCACTACAGATACGATTTCTAGAGCAGCATCTAAACTTAAGACTTCAACTAAGGCTGGACCCGATGGTGTTCCGTCGATCATTCTTAAAAAGAACATCACTTGTCTTTTAGATCCACTGCGCCGCATATTCCAGCTCTCTCTTTCCAGCGGCATCTTTCCATCTTGCTGGAAGACTGCGGATATGTTTCCTGTTCATAAAAAGGGAAGCAAACGCGACGTAAACAACTACCGGGGAATCACGTCGCTGAGTGCTGTATCAAAACTTTTTTGAATTGGTTGTCATAGAGTCCCTAAATGCGCATTGCAGGCAATATCTAAGTACAGATCAACACGGATTCATAACTGGGCGTTCCACAACTACGAACCTGCTGTGCCTAACGTCTTACATCACAGACAGTTTGATTGCTCGGACCCAAACGGACGTTATCTACACAGATCTTACGGCAGCCTTCGATAAGCTGAACCACGAAATTCCGATCGCTAAGCTTGATAGGCTACTGATCGGTGGAAATCTTTTGAGATGGTTTCGTTCATACCTCACGGAGCGCCAATTGACAGTAACTTTGGGTACTTGTCGCTCAGCTAGCTTCTGCGCAAAGTCCGGTATACCTCAGGGCAGCCATCTGGGACCATTGGTATTTCTCCTCTACTTCGACGACGTTCACCATGTTATCACAGAGCCACGATAATCGTTTGCAGACGATCTGAAAGTTTTTCTGCGCATCCGCTCACTCGCCGACTGCCGTTCTCTCCAAAATTAGATTGACATCTTTGCTGACTGGTGTAGTCTAAACCGACTGGTGGTCAACCCAGCTAAGTGTACAGTTATTAGAAACAACCGATTATTTTCAACTACAAACTACTAGGCACGACTATCGAACGGGTGCACTGCGTGAAAGACTTAGGCGTTTTTCTAGACTCAAAGCTGACATACTCACACCATATACCGTATGTCGTCGACAAAGCGTCCAGAACGCTTGGCTTTGTCTTCAAGATTACTAAGAACTTCACGGACATTTACTGCTTGAAATCGCTCTATTGCTCTCTCGTACGATCTACGTTGGAATACTGCTCTGCTGTCTGGAGCCCGAACTACAATAATGGGGCCGAGCGAATTGAATCTGTTCAACGACGTTTTCTTCGCTTCGCGCTCCGTAAGCTGCCTTGGAGATACCCACTTCGTCTTCCAAGCTACGAGAATCGCTGCCAATTGATCAATATCGAGCCCTTACGTATCCGAAGAGATGTTTTCAGAGCCTTAACCGTCGCCGATACTCTGCAAGGAAGAATCGACTGCGAAGTAATTCTGCAACAAGTGAACATTAATGTTCAACCTCGATCACTACGCAACAGTCTTATGCTGAGACTTCCACTTCTTCGAACTAATTATAGCATAGGGAGCGCTATTTACGGCTTGCAGCTAGTGTTCAACCGAGTAGCGTCGATGTTCGATTTCCACTTGACACGGAATATGCTTCGCCGAAGATTCTCTGCCTTTTTTGCTGACCGAAGGCGCTTGATACCCAACAGCTAAGTGTAAAATTTAATTTTTAGTAACTTGACAATGCTTTCCAAGTTATTTTCGTTTGTAACTGTAGTAACTGTAGTATATGTATGTCGTCTGTATATCTGTACTTTTTTTACAACACATCATTGGGACTATTTTTTCTAGTCTGTTGATGCAACCATAACAAATAAACAAATAAACAATTAATATCAATAGTATCATATGTGGCGTCCCGTAACCTCACTTTTTACCTGTGTATCATTTTCAAAACCAGATTTAATACCATATTCATACTCGAATCGGTTGAAAAATACACTTAATATCCTAGTTTACTCGATGTCTATCCATTGCAAACAATATTTTGATAATTGTTTATGTTTTGAGAGTTAGTGCACAGGTAGATTGAGGTTGAGGAAACGCCACTATCATCATGTTATGATGTGGCAAGTCAAAAGAAAAATGATAAAAATAATTATACAGTGAGCGGTGAACGGCGACCTTACGGTACCTTTTATTTGGCACTGCAGCGGCTCACAAAGTTCATTAAAATCGAAACTAAAACCTTTCTCTCAGAAGGGTAAAAAACAACTTTGCTGTTATTCTCGTTTTCATACCTAAATAAAAATCCATGAGAAACTCATAGGTGCAGTTTGATAGATATGATACTGTACATTTTTTCTCTAATATACAATTTAAGTGAATGTAAAATCAATTATAAGTATTTGTTCAGCAGATGCGTTGAAATGTGTACATAACTGTATCATTTTTGAGGCATCAAACAAGGAACGATTGCTTCCTTAATCCTAAATCGTGAACTTAAAAAACTTATGCAAATATTAATCTATAAAATCATGTTGGTACAATCTATGAAGTAAAAAGTGGACAAACAAAAGCTCCTACCTTTCAAATGCTTCATGCTTCTCATTCCGGGAGCCGTTCGTTCCGGTATTTTAATGGTTCATCAAATTTCCAGTGTAGACCCTGCAAACACAGCGGCGTAGCATTGCTAGCCAAGCTACACTGACTCGATTCCGCCGCTGATTTCAACTTCTGCTTTCTTTCCTCTTCCTCTTGGTCGTACGTCGGATCAAGCTTGATTTTATCGACATCCGCCAAATTTACATGAGGTTTCAGTGTGAACCCCACAATACGGGGTTTGTGCTTCTTCGGTGGTAGTGGCGGTGGAATTTCCTTAACTTCCCTGGGTTCCACATTAAGCTCGGTCGTATGTTTCCAGCGATAATTCTTCTTCTCGGGAAGAGGCGGTGGCATTTCCACCACTTGCTTCGATCGTTTAACTGCTTCATCTTTGCCTGTTTCTGCTGATGTATTCTCCGTTGCTTCATCTTCTTCTAATACCGTATCCATTCGTTTGTTAAATTTATGTGATCGTGGACTGATCATTGTTTCATAGGGATTGTCATTCTCTGGAGGTGGCGGCGGAGGGAATTCTACTTCGCCTTCCTTTGGTGTCCAGGGTAAATAAGTTTCCGGTGGTGGTGGTAGAGGAAATTCCTCGCTCTCATTTGGATTCCACTGATTGTCATTCTCCGGAGGTGGCGGCGGAGGGAATTCTACCTCGCCTTCCTTTGGTGTCCAGGTTAAATAAGTTTCCGGTGGTGGCGGTAGAGGAAATTCCTCGCTCTCATTTGGATTCCACGGATTGTCATTCTCCGGAGGTGGCGGTGGCGGGAATTCTTCTTCGCCATCCTTTGGTGTCCAGGGTAAATAAGTTTCCGGTGGTGGCGGTAGAGGAAATTCCTCGCTCTCATTTGGATTCCACGGATTGTCATTCTCCGGAGGTGGCGGCGGCGGGAATTCTTCTTCGCCTTCCTTTGGTGTCCAGGGTAAATAAGTTTCCGGTGGTGGCGGTAGAGGAAATTCCTCGCTCTCATTTGGATTCCACGGATTGTCATTCTCCGGAGGTGGCGGCGGCGGGAATTCTTCTTCGCCTTCCTTTGGTGTCCAGGGCAAATAAGTTTCCGGTGGTGGCGGTAGAGGAAATTCCTCGCTCTCATTTGGATTCCACGGATTGTCATTCTCCGGAGGTGGCGGCGGAGGGAATTCTTCTTCGCCTTCCTTTGGTGTCCAGGGCAAATAGGTTTCCGGTGGTGGCGGTAGAGGAAATTCCTCGCTCTCATTTGGATTCCACGGATTGTCATTCTCCGGAGGTGGCGGCGGCGGGAATTCTTCTTCGCCTTCCTTTGGTGTCCAGGGTAAATAAGTTTCCGGTGGTGGCGGTAGAGGAAATTCCTCGCTCTCATTTGGATTCCACGGATTGTCATTCTCTGGAGGTGGCGGCGGAGGGAATTCTACTTCGCCTTCCTTTGGTGTCCAGGGTAAATAAGTTTCCGGTGGTGGCGGTAGAGAAAATTCCTCGCTCTCATTTGGATTCCACGGATTGTCATCCTCCACATTCTTCAATGGATGTTCTTGATCTTCCGAAGGTGGCGGTGGAGGAAATTCCCCGTCGGCTTGGTCTTGGTCTGTTCTCGCTGTACCCCCAGTTGCTCCATCTTCAAACAGTGCAGAAGGTGGGGACTCCTGATTTTCCTTTGACTGCGCAGTTGCCTCGCCTTGACCTGCTGCGGCACCCCCAATAGTTCCGTTGTTGTCTTCAATTGGTTGCCCTTCTCCATTAGTAATGATCAACGGTTTCCAGGATTTGTCATTCGTCGGTGGAGGTTGTGGATATTCTACGTTGCCCTCCTTTTCATCGCTCATTTTTAGTTCGTCGTGAATTTTGCCTTGTACAATGATCGGTTCCGGACTGCACTGGACGCCTGGTAAAATATGGATCAAAATGTTATTCTTCACTAGCGGAATGGGAACCATATGCCACGTACGAAAGGTACCTGGATTGTAGATTGGAGCTGAAATGGGCAATCCCGTACCGGGATGGATCTGGTTGCCATCAGTTTCCTCCAGAGGTCCCTCATACCGCACCATTGCGATTGGCTCAGGTTTCGATTCAATCGCTGATTCTGGCTTCTGAATCCCCACCGGTTCCGGGCTTGCTTCCGGTCCCGAGGGTACCGCTACACATTTCATCTCGATTTCTTGAACGAATTGATTATTCCGTCTTTCGCCAAACGATCGCTCAGCAATGGCCTTCAAATCTTTCATGTGCTCGTAAGTCATTCGACGGTTGTAGAGGTTCTTGCCTGAAGATCAAGAATTAATAGTTCAAGCTTTCGGTCATTCGTGACACACTTCCTCACCTTTTAGATACTTGATGACGGCTTTCTTCTCTTTTCTCAACGTTTGTATTTCCAGTTCTTCCGGGGTTCTCTCTCTAACAAACAGCCTCCGGAAGCGAGCCAGCAGATTACTAAAACCAAAGAAAAAATATATCCTCAAACTTGGAGGCTGGTCTGCCATTCCAACTTACCGCCTTTCGGTCTCATCCTCCACCTTCGTGACCTTATCCAATGAAACCTGGGAATTGGCCGGTGCTCTCAGTCGGATTTCCTCAAACAGTTCTTCGCTGCAGCGACTTCGTGGAGCCCAGTGCTTAAGAACCTCTTCTGGGAGTTCGTCAACCGTTGCCTGCAAATTTAAACGCTCCGTTTCCTCAGATTTACGTTTACGTCGGAACATACGTCTGAATCGAACGTCCACCCTAGCTACTGGAGGCAATTCAACACGCGTTCGGCTGTTTGTTTTGCGTCCGCCATTTACCTCAAAGCGTCTGGGAGCGTCATTTCGGCTGGTAGAGCCGCGTCCGCCATTTCCCGCCAGACGATTAGAAGAATCAAACCATCCGGAAAAGCACGATGCAAAAGAAAGACAGGAAGCCATTTTCACCGAATGGTTAGAAATCGAACTTTTCACCTCTTAGCTTTTCACTAGCAAACACGCCTGAATTTTGATTTTTTTTTTCGTTTTAAATTTAGAAGTGCTTCCAGCTTTTCGCTGGGCCTTCCAGTTTCCGGTTGACTTTTCCCTTCATTAAAACTCTCCAAAAGCCTGCGTGCATATCGTCTGAGAATGCTGAAATATTTCAAATAACCGTTCTGATCGGGAAACTAAAAAGATTCACGCTATTCCAAAACTACCCAAATTTAAGTAGAATCAACCCAGATCTGTCAAAACTGAACCTATATTGGGAGTGACAAGTTGACAAATGAACAAAGTCGATCGGATTCATGTCAATGTTGTCCATTTGTCAACTTTATAGTTTACCCTAGAGTCGGTGTATAATGAGTCACGCCAAGAGAAAAACAGTTGAACTCGCATCACGGTTTCCGAAGGATTCCCTTTCTTTTCACTTGGCAACAGAGGACTTCTACATCAACTTTAAATGACTTCTAGCGAGAACCAAAAATAACGGCTGTAGTGACATAATATCAGTGATTTTGTCAAATTATTTTATCAAAAAATAGTAGAAATTCTCATTACTGATCAAAACCAAACGTATCCCATGACCATTTAATGCTCGCTGCGTGTTTATGATGATTTCTTCAATTTTATTTTATATTTCATTGCAATACCTTTCGTAGACCTTTCATAGCATCGTAATGTTTATTTACTTTGCACGATAGGTAGCCGATTTGACAGTTCAATAGGTAGACTTGGCTTCACTCTTGGCGTGACTCATTATACACCGACTCTAGTTTACCCATTTTGGGTATGTTCAGTTTTGACCGATCTGGGTGGATTCTATCCAAATTTGGGGAGTTTTAGAATAGCGTGTGATTCAGACTCCACGGGAAACCATCCAGCTTTTTAGTTTTTACGGGCGCTTATAGCTGCCTCAATCTGGCTGAGTTTCTGGTAGGGAATATATGATTTGACATTTGGGTTGTGTCGTTTGACATATAAAAGTTCAAATTTGATCATTTACACGTCAAACGACACAACCCAAACTTCTAATCTTATGTTCCCTACCAGAAACTCAGTCTGATTGTGGCGGCCATAAGCACTCGTAAAATGCTGGATAGTCGCTATCCAGCTTTCCATGCTCGGTGATGGCGGCCTGTTTGTACACACAAAACAAAAAGATTGTGTCCTTGAAAATATTGAACTTTTCTTTTAAAAGTTCGCTTAAATTTGGTAAATCAAGATGAAAAATCTTATTCCCAGAATATATCATTTAAATCAAAAGTGAAATCTGGTTGATTTCCATTTAAAATTAAAAGTGTAAACTTTTAAAATTAGAATAGGTTGACTTTCAGTGTGGCATTGATGCCAATTCCATGCGTCAGTCTTTTACCATCCATTCTGCATGCACTGTTCTGGATTTCGCATAACAACACAAACACGCGAGGTGTGAAGATTCCGAAATAAAAAAAAATTGTTGATATATAGTAAATTACATTTCCGCAGCATCTGAGCTAAATAGTTAAAGTAAGTGTGGAAGCAGTGGAAATGCGTAGAGAACCAGAGTTCGTAAATGTATACGAGAGCGACCGGGAGAGCGGGACTGATTTAGGAAGTGCAGGACGAAGACGAGAAGCAGGAAGAGCAACCTTCAGTTTCGGCGGCTGGTACTGTCGGAAGAGGAACGGATTGTAATGCAGGTAATTTTTATCATACTCCTACATATTTTCGTGTTATTAGGTTTTGGATTTTGTAAGGTTATGTTCTCTGCAATGAGATTATGAATAAACTTCGGATCTACACTTGGCTCATATTATTTATTTACGGGTTTATATTATTACAATAAAACTGTTGCCATTAACTTATTTTTTTATCGTTTCTTTCATTATTTAGAACACATAAACGAAACATGCGAAGTCGAAGAGGTGCTTCCGAAAAAAGTGAACCAGAATATTAGGTGTTCTTCAGACCTTCCGGAGCATTCCGAATCGAGTGGGACTTACGACGGTGGCTCGGCTAGTAGCTGCTCTCCAAGCTCCCCTCTTAAAGAGCAGCTTGACGAATGGAAACTGAGCAACAGCATTTATGTGCTATTGAAAGGTACGTTAATTGTTGTTTTTCTGAAGTGTATGTTGGCACAGAGGAATACTCTATAATCCACGTCCACGCAAACCAACATCCTCATCGGAATTTCTAACGATATTTAATTTTTAATTTTAATTGATCAATCTTTCTCGCGGTCTTTCCTAATATCTGTTTTTTACTTAAATTCGTTATTTCAGAAAAAGGACTAGAGTATGAAGACCTGAAACAAGTTTCAATAGCAGATGTAAATGAACTGTTTGAACCCTGTCGAACGGGAGAGAAGTTCCGACTACTGAACAATATAAGGGTAATAAGGGTACGTTTTATCAAAAACATGATTTTTTAACAATATCAAATGGACAGAGTGTAAAACTGTACGAAATTCATGACACAATCATTATAACAGATAACAAATTCCAGTTAGTTGTTGCTGAATATCAGATCGTAGGTTACAGAGATCATTTTGTGTCCTACGAGGTAGGATCAAAAATGGATAATTTTGCCATGTTAGACGCAGATATTTTTGACGGCCCTCCAATTCATGTTTACCTACTGAACAATGGTAAAAGCTACATACGTGTTAAGAAATATTTTAATTAGTATAGTTAATAACCTGTATAAATGCATTATTTAAAAATAAAACAAAAAATATAATCTTTCTGAAACCTTTTATTTTTATTACAATCACATTTTACAACAGAATTATGAAATGATTCATGTCATTTCAAAAATGTTATCATTTTATTATGAGAGTACATCACAGTTATCTCGAATGTCAACACTTTTATTTGGAAAGTATTTATTTGTTCCTACAAAATAAGCAGATTTTCACATTAAACACGAAATGCTTTGGATTTGACATTTAAAAAGTTTGAACGAGAGGAGCACCTTTTAAAATAAAATTATGACCAAGCTCTTGATGTGAATGTTACTAAACATTTGCAGGGAAAGCTTTGAACTCTCTACCAAAAAGAACTAATGCGTACTCTTATTTTAACCAACGTTTTTCTTAAATCTGCAAATGTTTTTTTTTTTGTGTGTATGAATAAATGTATCCTTCACTGTGCTTTTTGACACTAACTGGAGGGCGAGTGTTGTTCCATTTTCTTCTGTTCCTGGGAGAAGGAAAGGGAGGGGTCAAAATCCGAACCTCCAGATAGTGTCAAAAAGCACAGTGAAGGATACATTTATTCATACCACTAGGCCACCATTACCGAGCATAGAAAGCTGGATATTCAGTATTCAGTGACTGCTATTCTACCTCATAAAAAATAGATAGGACAAAAAATCTTAGTGTTACGCAGATTGTGTTTCCATATAGGAATATTTGCAAGATAGAATCTGACGAAAATTAAAAAAAAAATCTCAAATGCCAACAACAAATGCTAACAAAACAAGCTACAACGGGCGCCACGGCGTCCACGAACCAACTAGTTATACATATAATGCCCATGCTCATAGTAGGTCATACAAGTGTATCCGTGGCATAAGACTACACGAAACGAAAATCAATTATTATATGTATGTGTTTCACTTATACATTTTTGTCAAAACATTAGCCTTATACATACACAGAAAAACAAAACTACCCACCGCTTGGGTTTTTTAAACTCAAATTTGAGTTATTTGACCTCTGCCCGTTTCATTTCCTCTCGCTATTGTTGTCAAAAACAGAACGAAAGATTCGACTCAACCGTCTAGTTCCGTACGAGAAGCCAAAATTGAGTAATATGCGAGATACCCAAATTTGAGTTAATTGAACTTAATTTTGGGTAGAAAAAATTGAAAATAACTTAGCGATGGGTAATTTTTTTTGCCGTGCTTAAATGCAAACTACTTTGAGCCGGTTTACCCAAATTTGGCTTATCGTACGGAACATGGGAGATGAGTGGAAAGAACTTAATTTTGGGTTGTTTGAATTTCTGTGATTCCATTAGACAAATCACATAGGTCATATAAGAATGCATGTTTGCAACTGTAGTGCGAAAATGTAACAGTTAACGTGCAACCCGAATCCCCCTTACTTTTCGCAAACCAAGTGCAAGCATAGAGGTAACTCCTCGCGTAACTCTAAGACTAGTAGGTCCCGAAGAAACGTGCTCAACTTTTTGGCTCAGCTCTGGTACTATCTTCGGTCCCAAGCTTATCGATTCACCCCTCGAAACATAGGAAAATCCACTAACCCCTCATTTTATCTGTCAAACTTTCATAGCGAATCAAAACAAACATTGTGTAGTAGTAGAATTTCGACTAGAATCGGGTGGTGCAAAACGACGAACGTTGTTATCGACCAGCCGCCAACGGTGCCTTCCCAAGCAGAGCTTCACCACCACATCGAAATAAACAGCACGTTGCTTGATTGGTGCCATTTGGTAGACAATAAGAGCAATTCAGAGAAGAAAATGAAGAAGAATGTTATTATAAATAAGTGATTTTAGAAAATTTCCGTCATATACAGTCCACCAGTTCGAAGAATAAATTCGTTTTTTGTTACTTGCGCCCAAGCTTGCGCCCTTCTTATTCTCCCAGTCCAGCCGAAACGAATTGGTCTTTTTCAAGACCGAATAAGAGTTTTTGAACTTTCTTCAGCACGGAAAACACATATTCAAATTAATAAGAACACCTGGCAATTATAAAACGTCTTGAATCTGGATCGGGTGCGTTTCCGGTCAAAACGGTATTTCAATTTGAAATATTTCAGGCTTTCAGGGATAAGCGTACGTTTTTGGAGAGTTTCAACAACGGCAAAAGCCAACCAGAAACTGGAAAGCTCTTACAATTTATTTAAAACGAAATCGCAACTTAACTCGTGCTAAAAGTTTGC